CATCTGCAGCCCAGAACACTCACACTCTTCTACCTTCTATTATTGAAGAGTTTTTACTGCAGACACAATGCAGTGAAAAAAATGGTGCATCACATTTATTTTACCAACTTATGTCATTAAGTGAGATTTAAATTAGCTATTCAGAGTGAAAACTAGATTACTGCGCTTGTAACACAGAGAATAAAGTAGTGCCAGTGACATGATCTGCAATTTTTTTAAGATTACTCTCTCCTWTATAAGATGCCTAACATCTATTTAAAAATATACATATATCTGTCTAATTTCCTTAGAGCTATAAATCAAAGTGATGTTCAAGGTGGCTCTTGAAACGTTTACCAGGCTGATCTCTTTGACTATCTTTTGATGGGGAATGAAATCAAACCGATGTCAAATCCATCCTAGATTGAGTTCCATCCTAATCAGTTGTGCTTCCCCATGCGATAGAGGARGAACTACCCATGCAAACCAGAAATCATTTTGTTAAACATTAACCATCGTGATTCATGGGTTCTGCCTGTGCTTCGGTCCAAGTTGGCATTCCGTGTGTCAAATTAATCCACTTCTATTTCCAGTGCTGGTGTTTATGCCCAAGGCAACACTAAAAAATAGAAAATCAGAAGGACTACACTGAAAAAAAAAGAAAAAATATTTCAAATACACTAGAGATTACCGACATATACTCTGAGCTGAGCCTGGACATTTGAATAAACTAATATTTTGGTATAAAACCATAATGATCAACTTTACACAAAAAAAGAAAAAAAAAACACTTGTCCCATTCATGATCACTGTAATGGAAAGATGATGAATAGATGGGAGGTCATTTTTGGTAGTGTTAGTTTGACAATAGTAGCCAGTATGAAACTGTTCTCTGCAGTAATATTAACAGAAGCCCTTTGTAACATTTTTACAGTCCTTGCTTAATTAAAATGTCACATCCACTGTAGCTATATGCGGCAGAGTTTTCACCAAATTAAAACAGAATTAGGCTGGCAGATGTGGCCTTAATGGCTTAATCATGGCTTTACATTATTTCTAGTGGAAAGCGGTCACAGATGAATATTTTAAACTCATCCACAAGTAATAGATGTAAAATGAAACAGCAAACTCAAAATCGGTATTTAAATTGCAAAGGCAGCTGCGGGTATGTCAACACGTCACCTTGCAACAACAAATCAGAAAACAGAGCGCATCTAAATGTAGGAGTCAGTCAGTGACTAAACGCAGCAAATAAACACAGTGAAATACTGTTCCAGGCAAAGGATTTAGTCATCCTGGAATCACTGTCACTGGTTGCAAATAAACTGAACAACATTTCTTTACT